TAGTATGAAACCTAATGCTCCCTCACTGAAAAGAAATTTTCATTATATAAAGGAGATAATTGGGAGGAAAAAAGACAATTCATGTTTTATGGCTGACTATAGATGAATAACACTTAATGTCCAACAGTTTACGCTGCACTATAATCATCCACTAATGACTGGAAAACTCACTGTGAAAATTACTGAACCTAAACTGGTGGGGTGTTAATTTAATTTTTGGTGGCAAGAGAGAACATGGCAGGGAGAGGAAAAAAAAAAGGGAACACTTAGCTCCAGCTCCCAGCACAGCAAAAAACATTTCCCCCCTATGCCTGGCTGAGCAGGAACAATGCACAACAGCCTGGCCCTGACGACTTTGCTGAATTATAACTCCTGCTAGTTAGTTTAATTATTGCACATACATTTCTTGAAAACTCCATTTGAAACATCAGCTTCTAATTGGAGAAATTGCTCTGGACATGACCAAATGGTTACTATAAAGTTTGGTCACTTCCTTTCAAGCAATCATTAGAAAAGGGCACGGCCCTTCCACGAAGCGTATGAAAACCTCTCAAAGATGCCCATTGTCCAAGACACAGAAATCAAGTGCAAGAGATAGAGAAGGAAGCTTCAGCTGGGAACACAAAAGGCAATGAGGACACGAAAATGAGGTGGAGCATCCTGCTACACCAGCAGTGCCTCGCATAGAAGAGCTGAAAGGGGAAGAGAAAAAAAGATTCAGCTTCCAGGATGACAAATATTAGTGGGTGCAAATGGAAGGTGTGTCAAAGACAGAAATCTTATTAAAATAAGAACGCTCATTAAAGACTTAAGTTGCAAAAGCCTTGCAAAATTACAAGAAAGATTCCAACCACTGTTACCAAAGACAATGAATTTCATCATGGAACCTATAGGTTTGCATAAGGTTTCCTTGACCCTCTAAATCAGCTGGTTTGGGGGTTTTGTTTATTCAAAGACTGTTTATGTTTCCCAAGGCTTCCCCTTCAGCCAACTGAAAAACCTAGATACACCCACTAATTTCCTAATAACTCTGATCACTGAAAAAATGGACACTGAGCAAGCTTTCATGGCATAATCATTTAGTTTAAGAAAACTACCAGAGAAGTTTTTAAATCACATGTAAAACACTTCATCCCCTGTATCCTCAAGGCCTAAGCTGTTGGTGCTAAAGCAACTTCCTGATGTGCTTCATATTCCTGCCCAATTTCATCATAGGGTCTAATCAATTCTAGAGTCGAACCTCCAGACACTGGAATCTCACATGGATTTTAATCCATATACTTTCTGGCCCAGATATACCTGCACCAAGCATACTAGGACTGTCCAGTCCCTGTTAACTAGAGATTACACTTCCATGAACTTTTCATTATCAAGCCAGGGTGACTTAAAAGTGGGAAGACTATTCAGCAATGAGTCTCCTCCTGGTTTACATTTTACTATCTACTTTTTCCTCCAGTTATTATCTCCACGGCCATCACAACCCATTACTCATGAGACCAGACAAGGCTCTGGACCACAGCAAAACAAGAAATGTCAGCAACACCAGCAGAGGTTTGAAAGTCAGGCTGCAGTCGTAATTTCTGGGTCACGTTAGCACTTAACGATGCAGGTGAAGGGAAGCGTTGTCCAAGGCTCCCTAATACCTGTGCACAGAGGTCGTGGCAGCTGAGAAGAGGAGGCATTTCTGTCCCTTGCTCCTTTCCAGGCAGCAGTGGGAGGTGGGGATGCTCTCATCTTCCAGCTACCCCAATATCCAGCCAGGGTCCAGGCGCAGGTGGGACTGAAAGCCACCCCCGCCTTTCTGCAAGCAGCCAGCCAGACAGACATGAGAAAAGGCAAGAATCAACCCCACGACCTGCCACAGCATTGCCTGGGTACCCCAAAGGCCCTGGGGTGCAGAGATAGACCCCCCCGGGCCAGCGCCATGCAGCCCCTCACTGCTACACTCAGCCACGGCAACCCCCTATTCCCACCCCAGCGCGGGGGGCTAGGGCCTGGGCCCGAGCAGCAGGAAACAACAGCTTCCTCTTCATCAAAAATACCATGCCACTTTTTCCCCTTGACCCCATCAGTTATTTATTAACAGTAGTAAAATATTACTGTTCCTCATCTCTCAACCAGGCAGGTTTCCCTCTCAGCCCAAAATACCCACCACTTTCTTTTAAAAGCTGAAACATATTGAGCCTTTTCCTTTTTGTTTGCAAGTGTACTGTTTACTGCCTTAGTGCTGCAAAGTGGAGAATAAAGTGTGAGAGAGCTCCTAAATCAGTCACTGCCATTTACACATTAGGCACCTAATTATGTTGAAAATACAATTACACACTTTTCAGCAGATGCTCATGCCCACAGGCCAGGCCCGTTACTTTGATTCTTCTTTAACTACCTAACTTTACAGTAAGTGCAAGTTCAATCTACTTAGACCTGAATTATCAGTCTGGGTGTGGAAAAAAAAAAAAAAAAAAAAATTTGAAAGAAAATAAGCAATGTTCCCATCTCATTTACCACTGCTAAGAACACTGCACAACAGGTAAGGCTCCAACAGGTCCCTGCTCTTCTTTCATACCCTTTAATCAAATACTGAAAGGCATTTTTTTATTTTTAAAGTCAAATTAAAACTTCTTACTCCAGTCTTTTGCAAATGCACAGCAAAGATAACCCCCCAAGGAATGCATACTATTTACACACCAGTGAGCTTACTTATTAACGTGAACTTCTAGTAAAAGTTGTGTTTCCATATTTTAAAACGGGCCACAAAGACTTGTTTACATTCCATGTCTGGCTTTAGTAACGTCAAGGTCAGAGCGCACCCTTCAACAGCCCTCCTGTGCGGCAGGCTGAGGAATTTTGCCCAATGGATAAGGTCCAGGGACACCCCAGAAATCAAACACTGACCCTTACACTCCTTCAAGCGACAGCACTCATTCGGGAGCTCTTCCTCCTCGGTCCAGCTGGAGCCAAAAAGGCCCTACGAGCTACGCTGAGCAGCTGGCACTCACGGCTGCCCGCATCTCTACGCTTACCACCACACTTTGCTCCAAAAGCGAAGGCATCAGCATTTAACAGCCTTGGGTGGAAAGCACATGCAGGCTTTCTCCTCTTGTCTCTGGCCATGAACAGCAGTTCCATGCAAACCTCAGCCACAGCCCAAGCCCACTACCTGTCTATCAACTTTTTACCCTCCTCTAAATATTGGTGGAAAACTTCTCCATCACCAGAATAGGATTTACTACCTGTTTTCAACACTCATCTGTTGTCAGAGGTTCAGAGGGAATTTCACTATGATAGGGAAAAAAAAAAGTTCATCGACTCATTTTCAAATGGACAACTTGTCCTGAGACTCCCCCTCAGCACAAAGAAATAGTAATATTCTAGTAAGTCTGATGGGGAAATAGTGAGTGACAGTGAAGTGCCTGAAAACTGCAAGAGGCGACACCGCAGGTGAACAGAAGTGATCAGACCCTTTATTGCCTATTCCAGAAGGACAGTGACAGCTAGGAACATTCAAAACCAAAACTAAAAAAGGAAACTGAGACAAACTGAATATTCAAGCTCCATTATCTGTAGGAACTTTATTCAGATAATTTTTTAAAAGAAATGCACAGGGGTATCCTGTTTTAAGGATCTGAAACCCCCAGAGCAGAAAGAACATCTCGAGCTCTGTGACCTGTTCCAGGTACCCGCTGCCTAAGACACGGACAATAGAAGTTGTCCATAAGGAAAAGACAGTTTGCCTCACCGTCATCACTGCAGCGGCCGTGGGAAGCAATGAAACCTCAACAGCAGTAAAACAAATCCTCATAATTCGTCTTATCTCCATAAAAGAAGGTAAGGGTTTCAAGCTGTGAAGGCTACAAGTTACCTTAAATCCCAAGGAAAACTTCAGGTCTGTTGCTCTTCGCTACTCCCCACTATAGACAGCAAATAGCCACAGCTTTATTTCTTGGGGTTTTGGTTTTGTTTTTTTTTTTTTTCCATGTCAAAATAAGTGCTGCAAAAATTTTTGTTATCCATGCTAAGATATTTCTTCTTCCTGAAGAAAATTCAGGAAGAGATGTGCTCCTTCCTAGGCCACACAGCACACAGGCAGGACTCCCCTGGGGGATCACACCGTAACTTGAATCTTCAGCCCACCGTGGCATGACAGACTTGCCATTTATTGCTCCAAAAGCTACCTGCCTCGCACCGCAAAAAAAAAAAAAAAAAAAACCACAAAAAGAAAAAAAAACACAAAAAAAACCCCAAACAAACAAAAAACACAAAACAAAACAAAACAAAACAAAAAACAAACAAAAACATTCCTCAGCTCCTGCTACTACTTCTTGCCATGGAAGACACCTTCACAATACTGTGACACAAGTTCGAGCTACCAAGTAGATCCAAATATAAAGTGAAAAATTGGTTGGGCAAGCCTAGCAATGCTAAAATGAACTTTTAAAATTTCTAATGTTAGAAATTATTATCTTTAATGAGCTGATAATAACTCTAATTAAAAGCCTGCACTCTTTGTAAGTGTTAGCAGTTATTCCCGAATTGTGTAAAGGTCTCGTAGCTCAGGAGGGTGCGGGATCCCTCCTTGGGGCAGCGAAACGCCCGAGACAAGCGCGCCCGAGGGACAGCGGGCGTTTCCCCCTGCAAGGGGGCTATTCCCCAAATTTACAATTTACGGTTTTAACCTCGCCCGCTGAAGGAAACGGGGGAAGGCACCGCTCCAGCCCGACCCCCCAGCTGCCGCCCGGAGCTCTCCTTGGCGAACCCCGAGGACTTGCAGCGCATCCCCGTAACGCCGCCGGCCCCCTCCCAGCTCACCCCCTTCCGCGCCCACCCGCTTTTGGGGGCGCAAATTCCGCGGCGGGGCCGCGTCGTTCCCACTCCCACTCCCACTCCCACTCCACTCCGCCACCGGCTCCCCCCACTCGCCCGGCAGCGGGCGCTCCGGGGGCAGCTCCGCGGGGCCGCCGCCGCGCCCGGGGGCACCGGCCCTCACCCCCGGGCCCACCTACCCAGGCATTTGATGTGGAAGCCGCTGGGGGGTTTGAGGGAGCGGCGCGCCCAGCCCTGCCGCAGCACCTCCAGGTGCTCCTCCTTGCCCTGCACCAGCAGCACCTGCTCGTCGATCCAGCCCAGGAAGAAGGTCTCGGCCACCGCCGCCGTGGCCCGCCGGTCCCAAAAGTGCTGCATGTTCTCCCGCTTGAAGTCGGCGAAGATCTCGTAGCCGATGCGGTGTCGGCCCAGCTCCGCCGCCGGCCCCGCACCCCCACCGCCCCCCGGCCGCCCCCCGCCCGCGGCGCCCAGGACGATGGCCAGGGAGTGCGGGGCGATCTGCAGGCACCGCTCCGCCCTGCGCGGCATCGCCGCTCACCTCCCGCCGCCGGGCACGGGCGCGGAGCCGGGCATGCCTTCCCGCGGCCGCGCTGCCTCCCGCGCCCGGCTGCCCGCGCTCCGCCCCCGCCACGCCCCGCCACGCCCCGCCACGCCCCGCCACGCCCCGCCCCCGGCACACCCCCGCCGCCGTGCGGGGAACGTGACCCCGGGGGTGCCGGGGCCCCGCAGCGGGCAGCGCCCGCCGCCTCCCGGCCGGGGAAACCCGCTCCCCACCGCCCTGCCCGAGGCACGGGAACGGGAGCACCGTCCCCGGGAACGGGAGCACCGTCCCCGGGAACGGGACGAGGCCGCTGAGCGTCCCGGCTGGCCGCCTCGCCTTTCCCCGCACCCTCCAGTCTCGGGAGACTTCATTCACCCTTCCCTTCCTTAGGGGCAGCCCCCCCCCCAGCCCCTTCCAGATCGTCCCAGCAAGTCTCACGCTCGTTATATTTGGGCTCCTTCCAGCGGTTACACAGCTGTAGGGAAAACGCCGAGCGAATAGCCCCGATCCCGGCTGTGCCCAAACGTTCACAACCACCTCCTTCACGCCTAGAAATTCCGCATCGCTTTGTCTTAGGGGGACTGAAATCTGGTCACGGTGGGGCCAGCGCGAAGTTCACTCCTAACTTCGGTGGCTTTTTTTTCCAGCAGTTTAACATTTTGCCGCCTCCGTGCTCCAGGTCACCGGCTGCCCGTGAGGCTCGAGGGGGAGCTCAGCGAAAAGGCGTGAGCAGGAATGGAGGGACCCTGGTCCTTCCCGGCGGAGCCTGGCCTGGGGCACGTGTCGAGGCGGTGGATGGTTGCTGAGCTGTAGGTGGTGGCAGCAAGGTGCCGGTCACCCTTGTCAGAAGGCAGATTTAGGGACCTCGCCAACATCTTCCGAAAAAAACCTCAAACCCACAGCAAAACCAAGTCTCTCGTTGCCGAAAATGGGGCTCGAGTTCCTGAAGCGGCTGTGGCCGCCGGTCGGCTGGGCGCTGTGCGGGCGGCTCCAGGAGCACCCTCGCCTCGCCCCTGGGAGTGGGCCACTGCGGCGCTGGGGAAACTGGCAGCAGGGAGTGAGGCAAAGGACACAGAGAAAAAAACTGAGAGAGGAGAGGGGCGAGAGCAGAGAGGCAGAAGAGAGGGGAGTGAGAGAAGAGGCAGTGGCCACGCTGCCGGGCAGTGGTTGAAGAGCTGTAACCGAGCCAGCACACTCTGCGCTGTGCACAAGCTGCGCTGTTTTACTGTCGCTCCTGAATCCACTCCCAGCAGCATCCTTGGCACTTTTGGCCCACTTAAACTATCGCCCGTTCGGTTCTAACTTCATTCAAATCCTGTGGCACTCTCCATCTAGTTTCACCTATTTCCTTCTCCGGGGCACTGTGTATCAGTCAGGCTCTACTGACATTCCCACATCCTACTTTTGGGGTTTCACCCAGTGATGTCTAGGCACTGTACCGAGGAAGGTCAAATTTACCAGCATCCCAAAGAGATTTACGAGGAGGCAAGCTGTACAAAACCAACTCTACCAAAGGGGAAAATAAGTTGTCCAGAATCACAGTGTCATTTTGAGCCAGGAGCAGAGCCTGTTAATGCTGGCTTGCAAGCCTCTAACCCCTTCCCAAATATCCAGCACAGCAAGATCTCAAGATGCCCTTCGCCTCAGCCAGCAATAGTCTTGATGGTGTTGCTGTCAATATTTCAAAGGAGCACTTTCACACTGTCATTTAGCCCTAAGCCTCAGAAGAGGACACCCCCCCCCCCCGGCAACCGCATTGTCTTCCAAACTGCTTCCCAAAGTTCACCTGAGCCACTGATTGCCTGTTAAAAGAGCTAGTCTTAGTGTGTTGAAACTACTGTCATGACCTTGTCATACTTGTGTTATTCTTACCTTGCACCTTCCTCCTCTCTGCGTTATATCAGTCTTTTATCTTGCCCATCATACTTGCATTTCAGTTCTCCTGGGCAGGGCTCACCTTTGTGTTGCCTTTGTGTGGAGCACGTCACACTAACTTCTCAACCACTGATCAGAGTCACCAGGTAATTTAAGGGCTTGGATAGGTTTTCAGTTTTCATTCCTTCCTGCAAGAACAAAGGAGCCAAGTTAAGCCTTTTGACTGCTTTTAGGTTTCTGCACCAGATATGTACTGAGCACTTAGAGGCAGGGCCCCACATTTTGCCTACAGCCCCCAAATCCCAAGTGCTAGACAAATCTGTGATCCTTCTGCTGCCTCTGGAAAAAGCGTGTGTTCGGTGCAGCACGCCTGGCAGCCTTCAGCCACGGCATCCGCAGTGCTCTCTCCATTAGCTGAGCTCCTTTTCCTTTCAATACTAATTTCTGAAGCAATCTGTGTGGTGAAACATGCACACAGTCGTTTTCCTCCTCTTGCAAGGGATTTGCAGTAACACTTGTGGGCTGTCAGCATCTTCCCTATCCCTGGCTTGTTTGCCTATAAAGGCTAATCCTCAGCCTGCTAATCCTCTCCCACCCTGCTTTCAACACCTCTTCCCTCACACCGCTTCACGCCTCTCCCCATGCACTCACAGGCTGGCCCTCCTTCCTCCTTTCCTCCTTCCCTCTTTTTCTCCTTTCCTCCTTTTCTCCTTCCCCCCTTTTCTCCTTCCCTCCCTCCCTCCCTCTCTCCTTCGTTCCCTCCTTCCCTCCCTCCCTTGGCACGCCACCCCTCTCCGCAGCTCACACACACGTAATGTCACACACAAGTAGTGACAAGGTAATGAAAGAGAGTACGCCACAATTTGTTCAAAACCTGTTGGACGCAGCACAGTGATTGTGGCGCAGATGAAAACACACCGTGCGATAGGGGTTAGGTGCTGTCCCTACAAAAGCCAGTGCCAGGATTGCCTGAACGGGACCTTGAGACCCCGGTCAAGAGATTCCCCTTGTTTCAGGGGCCTGACAAAAGGCTGTGGGCAGCAAGTAAGTACTGAGTAAACTGTTTGTCATCCATTATTTCCCCTTTTTTCCCATCTCATTACTGATTCAAATTATTTCTTTTGCCTCAGAATTTTGGGGGTTTTGCTTTATTTTGGTTTATTTACGTTTCCTTGATTGCCAGTTTGGTGTTGAACGGGATCTCTTTCCTTTCCATTCACTCTCACTTCAAGGGACTGCTTCCAAGTAATCAAGATCTACATCCAGACTAAAGCCGATCTGGTATTTCCCAGTAGAAATACAAGGGAGAAGACAGCCTACAATCTTCTTACCAGCAAGTAATGAAAGTGGGTGAAGTGGAATTCCTAAGCGCCTCTGAAGTGTTTGGAAAGGCAGAAGTTTACCTTGCTATCAGGGCAAAACCCCTGAAGATTTAGACACTTCTCTTTGAAATGCATCAACAGTGGCTGGAAGTCTGCAGAAAATGGTGCCGTTTATTCTAGGTAGGAGCAGAAAGCCAAACAAACCTGAGGGAGCTGTGTTCTCCTGCTGCCTGTACTGATCTGGAGCTCAGGTGTGGTACCTCTGACTGCTGCCAGTATTGCCTTGTTAAAAACTCTCTGCAGAAGGAGCACAGAGAGGAGGCCACAGAGAGGAAAAGAAAGGCCGAGATGAAATATATATATATTTAATGGTGGTTGTGCATCATTGATTTGTACATAGTTAGGCAAGTTGCACAATTTCGCAGCCTGCATAGTATGTCAGCAAGTGATCTGCTTCAGATGTAGTACTTAGGCAGTAAGTCAGCAAATGCCTTACTCAGGATTTCTTCTGTGAGAGGTTTTGAAAGAGTATTTCCTATTGGAAAACTATTTTTTGTCCTGGTTTGGGCTGAAATAGAGTTAATATTCCTTTTCGGGAACTAGAAGAGTGCTGTGTTTTGGATTTAGCTTTGGGTTTGGTATGAGAAGAATGCTGATAGCACACTGGTGTTTTCAGCTGCTACTGAGACCTCAAGGACTCTCTGACTCCCCATGTCCTGCCCGTGCGCAAGGGCACAGGGAGCAGGGAGGGAGCACGGCCAGAGCTCCAGACCCAAATTGGCCAATGAAATATTCCATATCATGGAACGTCATGCTCACTATATAGAGGAGGGGTGGTTGGGAAGGAGCTCTCTCTGGCTTCCAGGATTGTGATTGTGGGATCTTGGTATTTCAGGATCGCTGGCTGGGAACAGGCTGGGTATTGGTCAGCGGGTGATGAGCAATTACATTGTGCATTGCTCGTTTATATTTTTTCTATTACTGTAATTTTTCTTGTTTTATTACCATTATTAAACTGTTCCTATCTCAGCCTGCGAGTCTCCCTTTACTCCTCCAATTCTCTCCCCCATTCCCACGTGGAGGGCGGGGAAGGGTGGGTGAACGGCTGCGGTGGTTGGCTGCTGACCAGGCTCAAACCACGACATTTTCTAAATCTCTACCAGTTTTATACAAGAAGAAACAGTACCTTCCCTCTTCAATGCCTGTCCAGTGTTGTCACCTGGTGAGAGAGTTCTGCATGCTTCCCAGCCAAGTCGCCTCATTCCCAGGAGGAAGCTACCCTTACCATTACATGGGCTTTCAGGTGGCTGACGTGTGTTTGGCAAGAAACTGCCAAACCTTTGCAGCACTAACAGCTGCGGGGATGCGTGGGCTTTTTTTGAACATAGATGCATCATGTGGAAGGCTGACTGAAGCTGGAGATTCACACCAGCTGCCCACTGACACGGAGCTTGGAGCAACTGCCACCACCAAAGAAGACATTTACTGCAGCCCTGACAAGACCAGAGCTTACAGACCTCAGTAATAAATTTTGAGAAGAGTTGCCCTCCTCCTCCTACCCCCGATAAGAGCTACATGAGCCCAGCCAGACTTGCTCGGACACAGAGGTGATATAAACTGACTCTGGCTTGTGGCTTTGCTGCTGTGGATGTGCAGGCCAGGAAGGGGTCAGGAGCAGATATGTCCATAACACACGGGCCAGATGCTCTTCTTCTCATAACCTGAGGAAAAACCTGGAGCAATCTCAGAAGAGTGAATGCTCTAAAACAACGGAGATCATGAACAGTGATGGCAACTTGCATCTAAGAAAAACAAGATTGTGGAAGGCAGGTGTTAGTAATTGTTCCTTAAAACTC